GAGATAAACCATCCCAAGATTTCGTTCCGACCTCGGATGCTTTGCTGGCCACACCACCGAAGATTGAATTGTTTTGAGACTAGAAAAATTATAGATAAAAACCTTCAAAATAACTTTTTTGATAGGTTAAAAGTGAATCTTTACCTACCACGTTCTCACTCAATTGTGAAGCCTTCTGCTGCGCTTGCATTCCAACGTCTTTCGCCATTGCAGCGGCTTGCGAAGCACCTTTTGACAACATCGACCAACCCTGAGAGCAAGAAATTCACGTTATTCGCATTCGAAGTTTTAAAGGTTACCATTGAAAGACCAGACATAGCTCCAGAAAGTAAATCATCTCCACTGTTCGATTGATTTGGAACATATCCAGTGTTTCCGAATCCCTGATATTTGATTCCGCTGAAGAGTATACATTATTTGAAATAGAAAAACGGAGAAAACTCACGAGTCTTGTGTGGAATACGAACCATCTCCGGTCGATTGCGAATAACTTGAATTTCCACCATAATACGATCCAAGAGACGAATTTCCGGAAGATTTGTTTGTTGAAGAATTAGATCGGGATCCCATTCCACCAAGAGTTGGAGGAACATAGTTTGCAGCTGGAGAAGTTGATTGAGACCATTCCCGGCCTTCGGCTTCACATGCAACCTGAAGAAAGAAAACGCGTTTTTTCGTTATTTAACTAGGTCCTAAAATTAAATTCACCACCTGATTCATTTCAATTTTTGAATTCAACACCTACTTTATCTCTAAACAAAGCAGCCGCACGTGAGTTGTATTTCTCCTGAATGGTCCATTTCTCTTTGTAATCCGGCTGTGATTGTAAAAACTCGGCGAATTTACGATTACCTCCGGCCTTCATTTTTGCTAATTCGATGTCTTTCCATTTGTCCATTGTTACCGACCGTACAAAACTTCAAAAAAATATATGAAACAGAACTTTAGAAAAGGAAAACCAACCTCAGATGAACACCCAAACTTCGATGAATTCCGGAACACTCAAGACATATCCAGATACCATAAGACACGGAAACCCATTGTGGGTTATTGGCCTCACATTCAAAACAAAACTGAAAGAAGTCGTGTTTGAGTGTTTCAAGTAAAGGAAACTTTGGAACATACGTTGTTATCATCTAAGGGCCGTAGCTCTTTCAAAACCCGCCGTGTTCGTGGACTAGCCATCTGTAATTATGAAATAAGATCCATTAGTTTTGTTCTTAAACGGTACTGAGAAGAAATCAAGAACTTCAGAAAAGAAATGGAAGAATAGAACGAGAGAGAATACGATTTCAAGCTGTAAAATTTTTATGAAAGAAAACATAGCCATTGATACATGCGGTATAAATCGAGAAAAAATACAAATATCAGAACTTAAAAATCTAATCTCCTGGCTGCATAAATGTGCTCCGATTACTGACTGACTTTCTTTGGGCGAGGTAGCCTGAAAACAGAATAGTACACGTGGCAAAAATCGAAAAGAGTGAAATACGAAGAGCGCGAAGGCGCGAAAAGCGAGAGAGTGAAAGACGGCGAGCGCGAGAGAGTATATGCGAATGAGAGAAAGTAGAAGCAGAAGGAATAAATGAATGACAGACCGGGTTGAGAAGAGATTCGACGTAAATCTCGCATTTGATGACGATCCATCCCTACAACACTTCGACGTTGTTGCGAAGATGGAGCATTTCGAGAGTGTTGATGTGAATGTTGTAGACGTGGTGATGATCTAGATGCGTTACCGGTTGGGAGAGAAGAATCCTTTTTAGAACTATAATTAATGAATCCTAAGCTTAGTTATATTGAGCTGGTAATTTACATATCATGGGTTCCAAATGAATTCGATTTGCTTGCTCTCCAATTATCAAGTGACATACTTGTCTTGTCCATTACAGTCTGATTGACAACAGTTTGGTTTGCTAACGAATGACTTGTCAAGTTCGAACTCCTAGTGGGAGTGAACATCTGAAACTTGTAGTCTTCAAAAAGCAGAATAATTTTTTAAAAATATAGCTTACATTATTAAATGCAACGCTAAACGCTGAACTATTCGAAGTGTTTGCAACAGCGGATCTCCCACTACTCTGAAGTAAACACTGTAATGATTGTGGTGTTATTTTCAAACAAACCATAGTATTAAACATCAAGTCATCGTTAAAAACTTGTGATTCCGTTGACTGCACAGTTCCACTTTCGAAGAATGCATGATAATTCGAAGAGTTTAGTGATGGTGCAGGGGAATTTACTAGAGGCGAAACTAAATTGAATGTAGAGTTTGGAGATGAGTTGATCATTGACGTTCCTGGTCCCGGTTCTTGAGATTCTTCTGGCATAAATGAAAATTTAGTCATCGATTTTGCAGATTGTGGTTGTACGGGAATTGATGATGTCAGATACCTGAAATCATTCTGAGTAACTTTTAATCAGTTGTTTAAAAAGTACTTTATTTTCTCCTGCAGTTCTTCCATTTCCTTTTGTATTCGCAACCGTTCTTCTTCGCCTGCTTGCAGTTTTTTCTCCGCTGTCTGGATCCATGTATTTGCTTCTGCTAGCTTCTTCTTTTGGGCTTCAAATTCTTGACCTTTTTTTCGAAAGTATGTTTCCATTTGTCGTTTTTTCTCTTTCTAATTTTCATTGTAAATTAATTTTAAATAATTAATAAAAAAAACAACCTCTTTTGTTAAATGTTTCAATAGGTGAACTCTGATGTTTTCCTGGAAGTCAAGTTTCCGCTGGAACTTCGCCAATGTATCAGTGAACGTTTTTAAGGGTTCCACGAAATACATTTTTACATTCGAACTGATGTTTCCATCCAGTTTCACGATCTTGATTTTTTTGCTGCACAAGGGACATTTTTCGTCTTCTGGAAAAATCGGTTTAACGGAATAGTTTTAGTTTCAGTTACCTATTTTTGCACACTTGTGACAGAATATGTGAAAGCAAGAAGAAATGAGATATCCATCATTCGAATTCTGTTGAAAGCAGTGGTTGCAATGTAAAAAATCCATTATCTCGTTTTTTTTTGTTCGGCGTAGCAAAACCGTAACTGAACGTTATTCGTTTCGAAAACCACTTACAGAAATTTGTATGCTCCTTTAAAGCTACAGTAGGAACCACAAAATTTCTTTTTTTCATAATGGACATTCTGGACGACATTATATGTGAAAGCTCTAAAAAGGAAGAAACCGTTTATTCCATGCCAGTTCCTCTTAAATTCCTCCCAATAACCATATCTACAACACTATCGATGACTAGTTGAATTTGGTTAGTATCAGTTGCACACGTGACATGAGTGTAGATTTTCTTGACATCTGAATATTTATTTAGCCTTTCAAATCGAGAGGTGATGTATGCCACGCATTCATTATAGTCGTTAGAACCTGAAAATAAATGAGAATTTTCAGAAATGAACAGGTAGCAATTACCCGTATAACTTGAAAATAAGACACTAATACTTGTAGTTTTGAGTTTTTGCTCAAATAAATCTCGTTTATTCAGAAATAATATCATAGCAGCTTGAACGAAAAACCGAGAGTTGCATATCGTCTCGAATAATTTTATAGATTCTTTCATCCTATTCTGAAAAAGAAAATTATGAAACTTCATGGATATTGTAGCTATCACAATTCTAAAAGAATTCCACAAGTTTCGAATACTCAACGTCATGTTCAATTTACCTGTGTTCCATCTTCATTTAATTTTTGATTATATTCATTGATGGCTGATATAAATATAGTGGCATTCACATTGTCAAATAAATGGATCCATTTCCTCCTTTCGGATCTTTGTCCACCTACATCAAATATCCTGAAGAAATGGATAAATACTCTAGGTACTGTATTCTATCTTCATCAGTTTTGATTGTTCTAATACTTTTCAAAAATCATACCTAAATTTAGTTCCTTTTATTTCAATAACTTGTTGAACGACGCCCATTGTTGGTATTCGTATTCGTAGCATATCATCAACAGTAGGTATGTAATCAGCATGGTTTATCCGTTCAATTTCGTTCATAAAGCTAAAAAAGACCCTTTTTTCTCATTTCAAAGTCAATCTTTTTGGAGAAAAACTCACTATACTAGAGTGTCCATCATTTGAAATTCAGCTCTCCTTTCAAAAGTTTTTTGTACATTCGAATCGTGCCATAACCTTTTTATTGCATTGAAAGTCAGAGGAATGAAAGGCATTGCATCTTTACTACTTTCGGCTAAGGCAAGAATATGTTGAGCATCGGCCTGAAAACATATATATATCTTTTCTATATACTAAGTGGAAAGCTCCGTCTGTATTTGTTGCATTATCACTGAACAACGTTTGTGCTGTAGGATTTCGCTAGCTACAGTAACCCCATTTCTTGAAAACGTGTTCGCAATGAACGGAATTGTTCTATTTTTTGCATGTAGTATCTACGGGACCTCAATAGTGCACAAACAAAAAATTTCTAGAATTACGTTGGTTACAGTAAGCCGAGAGCTCCACGTGGAGAGATTGAGGAGGGCAGCGACGAACAAAAGGAGGTGAGCAGCCGTTAGGCGGCCTCACCGACTGGTTCTTATCTATTTCTGAATATTTCAAAACAAAAATAAAACTCACATCTAATTCAGTGCTTTCCAATTGATAATAAAATGAATCTTTTGCTTTTAACAAGGTTGCCATTCCTTGTATAATATTGCTATACACCGTACCCGCTACATTCTTCAAATCCGTTTCCGAATACCCGTGACTATGAAGGATGCTGAAATGAAACTATTTCCTACGAATCCACAAAAAGAAACATACTTTATTTGTTTCAAAATGGTTGATTTCCCGCATTCACCCGTTCCGAGAAGCAGTAGTTTTTGATTACCAATCTCATTGTCTTCATCTCTTTTTATCTGTTTTTCAATGATCGAATTTATCCGCTTTTGTTCTTTATTCTCCGGCGAGGAGCAAGTTGATCCCATTTGTATGACTGATCGATCAATACATCTGAAAAAAAAAGAATTTGAAAAAAAAAAGTAATTTGGAGGCACGGGGAATTGAACCCCGGACTTCTCGCATGCGAAGCGAGCGCTCTACCCCTGAGCTCACAGGTAAAGCGCCAAGGCCCAACGGCGGCCCAACGGCAGGCGAACGGCCGCAGATGGGTCAACGGCGGCCCTCTGGCAGCTGAGCGGCCGCAGGTGGGCGAACGGCAGCTCAATGGCGGACGAACAACTTTTTGTAAACTGATGTAAATTGACAAATTTCGGAAAATTTCTCATTATTTCGACACTTAGGATGTTTAGAACATCCGATAATATACAGAGGAAACATTTTTAGAAAAAATCAGAAATTCGATTTTGGGTGGGTCAACGGCGGCCCAACGGCAGCTCAAGAAGCGCGGGTAGGCAAACGGTGGCCCAATGGCGGACGAACAGCTCTTTGTGATTTATAGCATTCTAAAAAGTTTTTCCTGCTTTTTATGATGTGACATGTCTTGAATATCCAACTAGTTAAATTTTTATCATTTCCTTGACAGATATGAAAACTTGATAGTAGGTAGGCCATCGAGTTGAACCACCTAGCATTTTAGTTATTTTATCAAACTGAAAATTATGCTAACGGCGATTGTTAGATATTATCAGCTTGTCACATTTCAAATGAACGATTTTTCTCTTTCAATATTACTCACAAGAGAACCTTTTAAGTCGAGGTTACAACCATGAGGAACCATCATCACCAGGTGGAAGATCGTGTTTGAAAACGCCGTTTTTCACTTTCAAAACCTGCTCACGAAAATTTTTATTTTTCACCAAAATTCGAAGTTTTCATTGAGAGAATTATCAGTTTTCCAGGTTTAGCTGGTTAAACTCCACATAACTCGACTTCTTTTATAGAGAATCGGTGAAGTTGGTGGTTAATTGTTGTATTCTACCATTTTTGAGGAAATCCTCACATTTCTGACCATTCCGGATTTAAAACTCATGTCCTCTAGAGTTCACACTTTTCTTTCGTCCGCCGTTAAGCTGCCGTTGGCCTACCTGCGGCCGCAGAGGTGCTACGACACTCCCAAATCCCGCCGTCGGTCGTCTTTTATCCAGCGTGTAACTCAAATTTATTTGAGTTTGTCGCACAATTTTTCGCGTTTTCTACTTCCCTCAATGTTTTTTTGTGAAATTTCTCTAAAAATATGTTACGACTGAATGAAAAAACAATTAAAGAAAAGAAAAATAGCCATTTTTATCGAAAAATTATAGACTTTTGGGTGGAGTCACCTTGAAAATGTTCGGCGCAAAGTTTGGTTTTCAATTCTCATTTTATTTCGGAAAAAACTGAATATTTCTCTTTTTCAGGTGGAATAAACAGGTAAGTCAGTAAGTTTTGTTTCTTCCGAAATAAAATGATAACTGTTAACTGAATTTTTGGGATGTTTCATTCCGGCACTTTACGAGGCGCTCGGGAAGCTTTCTCTGCCGTTGTCAAAAAAGTCATCGATATTGGAGACAAATAAGCATCGGCCAATGAAAACTTTTTTGAAGTCGATTTCAATAGTTTTCGAAAAAATCAGACGAGAATAAAACTTTAGCTTTTTTCAAAAAAAAAATTTTTTTTGAAATTTTTAGTTAGAAATTTTTTTAAATCAAATTTTTTAAAATTACAAACTGCGGAATAAACATATTCAGTCGTAACATGTTATTCGCTATCTTCATTGAGTGGAATTAGAAAACGCGATTGAAGGTGAACTTGTGAAAAGAAGAGAACGAAGGAAAAAGTGAACAAAAAACACATCTTACATATAAATAGTTGTCTACTGGGAACATTGTTCCCCATACGAATTGAATTTATGAATATCTATAAATCTATCTAAAGCCGCTGGCGGGCGAGTGCTGCCCGAATGACGAACCGCCGGTAGTCCAACGGCGGCTCAACGGTGGGTCGCAGTTGGTCCGCCGTTTGTTCTCCCTTCGCCTGCCGGCGGCCCACCGTTGGCCCGCCGTTGGGCCGTTGCGCTTTACCTGTGCTATGCCCCCACAACACGAAAAAGGAGAAATTCAAAAATGAAGACCTTAACTTTAGTCAGTAATTAGTGAGTAAAAAGATTTCAATATTCGGACGAAAAATACAATTTTTCATAAAACGGAACAGAATGAAAAACCGAATGGAGAGAAAAATAAACCACAAAAGTTAGAAGATGGGTTCGATACAAAAAGGATAAAAACCACCAGAATTTCTAGAACCTCGGAATTTGTTTTTCTGATGCTCTTGACATTGGAGAAGATGCCCAAGAAGTTGGGAGACGGTAGCTTTTATTTGAAAAAAGCTCCGGTTTTTCGAAAAATTGCTATATGTACGTTGATAAAGCGATCCGGCTATAAGAGCCCAATGTCGCCAACTGAACTATCCTGGATTTGAAAGAGGACTAAAAGAGGATGTGAAAACTCTAAGCTATACCAGCTACCGGGTTTTTCTACGATATCTGGTTACTAGAGACAAAGAACTTACAGTCTACTAGTTATCCTTAGTTAAGGAGGAAAAGAGAGAGAGAGAGAAGAGAGGTGACGAGGGAGAGAGCCTTCAGAGTGGTCATCGAAAGGTAAGTAGAGAGGGCCTATTCCGACTGGAACTGATTACTATATCATCAACAGTGTTAGTACTTGAAACAAAGTTGGACTAAAAACGAGGATAGCAAATATCGGACCCAACTCAGGGATAGTTTCAACAGAGAGCAGGGAATTTTAAAAAATCCTCAATTTTCGAAGCTTTGAAACAATGCCGTCGCTCTGTAGCGCTTTATGAAGAGATTTAGAATGCATTTGACCACTTGCAACATCTGATCACAATTGCAAACTTTGAAAAAGCAATTATTTCTCTTGAAATTGAATAAAAGAAATGGAGAAAACTTATTTTGGATATTATCAAATATAGGAAACTAGGTGAACTAGTAGTATTTGTCTCTCTTGAGAATAAATGCACCTGCTCCTACAATCCTCCCTCATTTTTCTCATCAGAAATCTGCCATTTCTCTATCCGGGGAGTTATGCTCTTTGGAGCATTGGTGCATATGGGAAAAAGGGAGAAATACACGGGAGAAAGGACATGTGATATGTGGGAATCCGAATAGACATGACATCCAATTAAGAGATCAATTACAAAGTCATTCTTTAGTCGGAATGTTTCTCTATGGCAACACTTGCGGATAACGATACGAAGAGTTGTTTGAAAACTTCGAAATTCTGGGAAAAAAAGGGAAATTCGGTTTAAAATACCTCTAAAAAGATCAAAAAGCAGATAAAATGAAAAGCCTAGTGATTCCATGAAAATAGGTAACTTTAATAATAAGAAAGCGTCTAGACAGAATATAGTAAAGACACAAAAAACGTAGAAATGAAAGGAAACATTTCTCATTGTCTAGGTCTTTCTCGTGGATTAAATCACATTTTGAACGCTAATCAGGCGATAGCGTGGGAAGAGAAATAATCAGTTTTCTGATTGAATTGAATTCAGTTCGAAGAAAACGAAGTGAGTGGGATGTACGGTTTCTGAAATCAGAACCCTTTGAACCTCCAAAACTATCAACATACACAACTACCGTAGCTCCTGGAATAAAGGAAAATCCAGTACTGTATGTTCCGAACAGTATATCTGGATCACCTTTGAAGATATCAAAAAGTAGTCAACTAAAGAAATGTTAAGCAAAGCATTTAAAAAATTTTACTAGTTGAACATTTTTTGATAGCTTCAAAGAAAGCCGAGACTCTGAGCATACAGTACTGACTGGGTATCTATTGCAGAATTGACGGTATCAAAGTTTAACTCTGACAGTGGAACGCTCAAAGGTTCTTTATCCTTTAGAAAAATTGATGAAGATTTAAAAAAAGTTCAAAGTGCAAACTTCATATTTCAATGATTTGCAAAACGAGAATTCACAGTGACCTTAAGTCAAATTAACTTTTTTTTTAGATAAAGCGGAGAGAGTCAGATGGTTTTGGTGAAAAAAACCAAAGTTGTGAAAGTATGAGTTATTAATAAACTTTAAAAAAAAGATCTCCTTAACTGTTATTCCAAAAAAAAGCAAGGATAAGAAACATGTTATCACTCACGTCATAAACTAGTGAAATACTACCAAACCAATATTGAAACAATCAGAAGTTTAAACAAGTGTCATGAGAGAATTCACAACAAACTGACAGATCTCATTCATTTCTTCAAAGTCCAAATGAAACAAAATGTAGTAAACTTGAATGATTCAAAATTGGAATCTCGAAGGAAAAGCACTTTCATAGACGCATCTTCTATTTCATAAGTGTTCCTTTTTTCATTCGAAAAACGCATGTTTTCTCTCTTTTTTCGTCAACTTTTTATCTCGTTTCTATGGGCAACAGGAAAGAGTCAAATCAGAGAATAAGTCGGTAATTGAACGTGTGTCTCCTGAATTAAAAGCAGTAAAAAAAAAGAAAACAGTGAAAGAGAAAATGAGAGAGAAAGAGAAAAAGATTCAAACTTTGTTTTCAATTGTATCAAACAATGTTTTGTTTGGCCTCTCAAAAGTTCCCAAGTCCTTATGCCGCCCGCTGAAAATTTCTTTTCTTTATCTGGACTCATGGGAATTTTTTGGCCCGTTTTGCGATATGTGAACTTTAGTGCAAGGTAATGGAGCAGAAAAAATCGAGTTATAAATAACTGATTCTGTGGGAAAAACTTGTTTTTTTCACATGGTTTTGCAACTTCAAGGAATTGTTAATAGATTTATTTGTGAATCAAAAACAGAAAAGTTTACTGTAGTTTGGAACGAATTTCTGAGTTCTCAAAGTAAAATGTTTTGAAAACACACCATAAATTGAACTGGTCAGAATATTCAATCCAACATATCATATTAAACTTGGTTTTTTTCGATGAATCATAATGTTCTTCTACAGTGACCTTTCCATTAATTTTCAATTCTTTTGAAAATTGCACTCGTCTAAATCATCGTGTTCACATCTTTTCGAGGTTTAAATTGATATGTCTAGCTTCAAAAAGTAAAGTTATATTTTGTTGCCAAAAGGAAGTGTCGAATGACGTAATTGGGTATTCTAACAATCTTCATAATTCAATTATTTCCTCCTTGTACGTCA